AAGAAGCTGGTTCGCTTGCAATACATCGAATATTTTTCCCTTCCTCTAAATTATATCTTAAAAAAGGGAAAGCTAAACCTGCAAAATTTGAACCACCTCCGAAAGGAGCAATAATTTCAAAACTCGTATTAATAGGATAATCTGAATATCTAAAATAGCTTAACATATCCATCCCTATTAAATTATAATTATCTTTTAGAGTATTATAATAAAAATTAAAAAACCAATTTTTTTTGCTTGCATCTTTAAAATTTAGATAGAATGAATTTTTATTTATGAAATTTGGATGTGCATTTTGAAGTAATTTTATTGTTTCATTTTCAAAATTTTTATTCCTTAAATATTTATATTTTATTAATCCTTTATAGATATAAAAAACATCTTTATTATCGTCTAATATATTGCCATCATAATTCCATCTGGGATTAAACATTAAAAAATTCCCTCCTAATTCAGAAATATATATTTCAGGTATTGGCTCTATTTTAATTATTTCTTCTTTAAATATTGAGGTTTCTACTTCATATTTTTTTGAAAGATTTACATAATATTTTTGTATAAATTCATCAACGCTTAGCTCTTTAAAATTCACTTTTAGGATTTGTTTTATTTGATTATAATCTTGTTTTGATAATAAATAATATACATTATTCAATTCTAAAAAAAACTCGATCCTTTTAAATTCTTCTAAATAATATTTTCTATTATCTATTTCTATTAATATTTCAAGCTTTAGATGGTGATATTTTTTTATAATTTTGAAACATAGTTTTGGGAATTTTGAATAAAAAGAACATTTAATATTTGATATATTCTTTTTCTGTGTCTGAACAGGATGATAAATATTCTTTTGAACAAATAAAAAAGAATATTTGTCTATAAATAAAGTGTGTAATTTTTTAATAAATTCTAGCTTAATAAATTCTCTTTCAGGAAGTTTTGTAAGCGTAGGATTATAGCTTTTCTTTAATGCTTCTATAAAACGTTTTGTGTTCTCTGTACTAAAATCTAATAGATTAATATAATTTAATTGATTAATATTATAATTATTGAAGTTTAAATAATCAAATATTATCTTTTTTCTTTTGGTTATTTCTAAAATCGAAAATGGAGTAATATGATTAAAAATATCATTAATATTAAAAAATAAAAAATATTTTACCATTTTAAATTAAATTTTCAAAATCATTTAATGCAATTATTCTATCTGAAATAAAACCTTCACCGGCATTTGTTCCAATTAATCTCCCCAAATCTTTTGCTCTATAAACAATACTTTCTTCAAAGTTTTTTGAAGTTATCGGAGTGTCTGGTTCTGATGATTGTGGATTATAAAATTGGGTACTATATGCTAAGCAAGCTTTAAGTTTTATGTCAATATATTCAGAAATATCTATTACAAAATCTGGTTTTAGGTTATCCCATTGAATATAATGAAAGACATGTTTTGGTCTCCAAGCTTTTTGATTTGTATCTATTTTTGTCAAACCACTTAAAAAACAGGCTGTAGAAATTAATTTTCCTGCTTTGGGATGATCCGGATGTCTATCATTTATAGCATTTGCTAATACAATATCCGGTTGAAATTCTCTTATTTTTTGAATAATCTTTAATTGGTGTTCTTTATCATCTATAAAAAAACCATCTTTAAATTTTAGATTATATCGTATTTTTACTTTTAATATTTCAGCTGCTTTTTCTGCTTCTTGTTTTCGTGTAAATTCATTTCCACGAGTACCTAATTCACCTTGTGTTAAATCTAAAATACCGACAGACATGCCCTTGTTTGTATATTTCGCAACCGTTGCACCACAACCTAATTCCACATCGTCTGGATGAGCACCTATTGCTAAAATATGTAATTTCATGCTTTTAATATACGTTTTTTTTATTAAAATTATATATGATAAACTAAATATATTCTGTTCCAGAAAGTTTCACAAAATATCCACAAAATTTCACAGAATATATTTTTATAATATTTTTTAAATTTAATGTTAAAAATTATTTTTTTTATTTTTGTGAATAACTAAGACTTTATTTATTATAAATAACTTACAAATCATTTAACCCTTCTGGTAAATCCATTTGAATTATTTTTTTTTCTCTATCAATATTTATAATCCATTCATTTATAATTGGTATATAAAATTGATGGTTGTTATTTTCAACTAAAAACAAATGTTGTGGTGAAGAGTCATTTATATCTATAATATGTCCAATTGTATTTTCATCGTTTATTATTTGATAGTTTATAATATCATGATAATAAAACTTTTTCCCTTCTAAAATTGGTAAAGTGTTTAAAGGCAAATATGCCTTTTTCCCAATAAGATTCTCTAAATTTTTATAATCAAATTTTATAAATAGTGTATTAAAATTTTTTAATTTAGAGTCTAAAATAAAAAAAGGAATCAATTCGTTAGAAAAATCTAAGAAAATTGACTCCATATTTTCATAAAGTTCAGGTTCATCAGTATCTAATTTCATTATTAAATATCCCTTTAAACCATGTTTTTTTGTTATAGTTCCGAGATAATAATAATCATTAAAATACATTATAGCCTCATTATTTTAAGTATTTTCCTCTTTATTTGACGCTATTTCTTCTGGTTTTTCTTCTATACTTTCTTCAGAAGTTTGTTGTGATAATATTTTTTCAGCGTTTGCTTTTTTTGCAGCTTCGATTTGAGCGTTCTTAAAATCTTGTTTTTTTTGTTCTAATGAAGCTATTTTTTCATTAGCTATTTTTTCTTTTGCTTCAACCCAATCATTAAATTTCTTTTCCATTTCTTGCTCATCAAAAGCACCTTTTGCTACCCCTCCTTTTAAATGTTTTTTATATAAAACCCCTTTGTATGAAAGAATTTTTTTGCATGTATCTGTAGGTTGAGCTCCGTTCTCTAACCATTTAAGAGCTTGATCTACATCTATATCAATAGTAGCTGGAATTGTTATAGGGTTGTAAGTGCCAATTTTTTCAATAAACTTACCGTTTCTTCTTGCTCTTGAATCTGCTATAACAATATGATAGAAAGGTTTTCCTTTTTTTCCATGTCGTTGCAATCTAATTTTTACTGCCATAATT